TAGTGGCATTATTGCCTTGCTTGGGGTGAACTGATTAAAAAAAAAAGAAAAAAAAATGATTTTCATGACTGATTTCCCATTATAAAAATGTCAGTCTTAGAAATAAAAGCAAGTCAATCCACATATAAAAGTATAAAAATATAAGATAAATATAAATATATACAAGTACGAGATAATGATATATAAATTGTTATATATCAAGAACAATATTGGGGGAAATGTATGACAAAGTGGAAAAAGATAATATCTAATTCATCAAACAAAAGAAATTTTCTGTTTACTTGTAAACCAAATGGCTTAAAGAAATATTAAGTCATTTTGTACATACTTTTATAGTGGGGAAAATATATATGACAAAATGTAAAAAAGTTTTCATGTGACGCATTTCATCCTTTAGGATTTCATTGGATTAAATTTGTTAGGTACAAATTCCTGTAAACCCTCAGTCATAATGACTTTGTGATTTCATGCTAGTATAATCATTGACTGCTTCCAAACCTGATTTCACTCACAAAGACTAAATTTTTACCTAAAAAATTTAGTCTAATGTATCTGTCTATATTTCTGAGATGTATTATGTACACTATTTACATTATTCGGACTACTGTCCTCATCTTTGTCACCATATTTATTACAACGTTTCAGCCGTTGTATGCTCCGGCCTTCTTCAGGTGGTTGGAATGTCGAACTGAACCCTTTATTTCGCTCACTGGGGTAGACTGTTCTAGTTCCATGTGCCATGTTTTTAATGGATGTCAGTTATCAGTTATCTCCTGTTAATTCCCCTCTCCAAGTTCTCCACTGCCTTAGCCGGGTATTGAACTCACATTCTTTGGGTCCTGTCACTGGATCTAACCAATGCCTTTATTCATGTGTCCTTGAGGACATCTGTGTATGAATTTCTGGGTATTATAAACCTAATGTCTTCAGCAACCGTTTTTTTACCAGTGCTCATATTGCAATTTTTGTTGTTATCATTCCAGGTTTTTACCAGAGCTTATATTGCAATTATTATTGCTTTTCTCTGGCACTCTTTATTACTGGTTCCCATATTATATTCATTTGTATGCCTGGTTGGCTCAGGAGATTTTTGTGGCCTAGCATATGTGCTAATTCCTTAAGTTTATGAATTTTCCAATGTTGTTCTTTGTCTATGATCTCAACCTGATCCCACAGAGGGCAGTGATCTCCCTTCTCTCTCCATATGTGGTCAGCCACGCCTGATTTTTCTACTTCCCTCGTGTTACAGCTTTCAGGTGTTCTTGAAGCCTTATCTTAAGGGGGCAGCCTGTCTCCCCTTTATATTTCTTTCCAAAGCTGCACGGGATAGCATACACACAGTCTTTAGTCACGTTCTCCTCTATGTGGTCTTATTCGGGAGAGATATCTGCTAAGTGTCGTCCAGTTTTTGAAGGTTGTCCTGATGTTATATAGACTGCAGATCCTTTGTATTTTCTCTGATAACCCCTTCAAATAAGGCAGGCAGACTGTTTTCTGAGTGTTGTTGTCCTCCTCTTGTACCCGTCTATCCCAGTTTTTTGGGCCTGCTGCCATGTACCCAGGGTAGTTGACCAATTAACTTATACTGACCAATTCTTTATCATATGTCTCTGCTTTGCCACTTATGACTTTTGCTCGGTGTGAGCAGTGGGCAATTCCTTTCTTTACACTGTATGGATAGTGGGAATTAAAATTGAGGTACTGTTCAGTAAATATCGGTTTACGGTATACAGATGTCTTGAACCCATGTTCTGTTCGAGATATTAGAACATCCAAGAATGGGAGTGTGTTGTTACTCTCTTTCTCCATCGTGAACTGTATCGGTCTTATTGAGTTCACGTGGTCCAGTAGAACCTGAACATCTTTCTGATGTGGTCAGAGTATGAATGTGTCATCTATGTACCTTAACCATAGAGTTGGCTTTAAAGGTTTCAGTTTGACATTCCAACCACCTGAAGAAGGCCAGAGCATACAACGGCCGAAACGTTATAATAAATATGGTGACAAAGTTTAATCCAATGTAGTTTTAAAGAACGAAACGCATCACATGAAAACATTTTTCCACTTTGTCATACATTTTTCCCCTCAATATAAAAGTACGTAAAAAATGACTTGGTATTTCTTTAAGCCATTTTCTTACAAGTAAACAGAAAGTGTCTTTTGCTTGATAAATTAGATATTATTTCGTCTTATGCGTGTTCAAAAGTTAACAGTCTTTAATATTGAAAACTACAGTTTAAATACACATTTGAAAAGCATGTTTTTTCACTGAAAACTTTTGCACTCACCTAATACATTCAGTGTTTTAGATAAAACAATCCTTCCTACAGCGTTACCGTGAACAGACCCCATTGATTGTGTAATGAGTTCAATCTTCACTGGGTACCCCACGGATGCAACATTGTTCCAAACCTAAGTTTAAGAAATCCCTTTGTAAGTAATGGAATGGTAATGGGTGTGAGGTTGAGCTGTTCTATTCTGACTCCAGTTTGAATCTCGGAAGAGTTGATTTGTCAGGGAAGTGACTTCTTGATAATATTGGCTTGGGAAACTATCTCAGCATGTGGTACCATTGAGATATGCCTAAAAAAACCCTGCTTTGTGTTAACCCAAACTTTGTGAGTGAAATGGGGTAGATAAACTGTTTGGAAGCTGCCAATGGTTATGCTAGCATGAAGACACAAGGTCATCGTAACTGAGGGTTTGGGGGAACTAGCCTTGTTCAACCACTGATCATGCCAGATAGTATGCTCTCTCTCAGCAACTGTAACTAAGATCATTGAAGTATGAAACACAGATTGATTCTGTGGATATTTAAGAAGTACTAATGTGACTGAGCAAGTGTCTGTGACAGGGATTAGATAACCACCATAGCTGTTGAGTGTTCTTAGAAATGAGTAACCAGCAAATTACTTAAGAGATTATATTTATGCAATGTCTGTTCCAGTTTTCTGTTTGTTCCTTCTGTGTTCTTATCAATTTGAAACAATTTCAAAGCAAAAAAAAATATGGTTCTTCCATAATGTATGTGATTGAGTTGAACAAATTCTTGTCAGCTTATGATTTTGTGTTGAATTATAAATAAAGATATTTTTTTTTTACATTATTTGTTTCTGCCTCTTGTCTTAAGCTGACAGAATGTTGGAAACAAAGATAGAATTTTAAGTGCAATCAGTTTAAAAATGCAAACATTTGGATTAAGTTACATGTGTTAGGCTCAAAGAAAAACTAATGTGTGTGATATTGCTGAGAAAAAAAATGATTATCTCCCTTTTATGCAGTATTTAAGGGTTGTTCTCAAATACCTGATCCATTTCACTATCTTTCTGACTGTCTCATACAGTCATGGCCAAAAGTTCAAAAACCACCCAACAGTTTTTAACAGAAACAAATCTCAATAACCTAAAAAATAAGTTTGGTCCTCACTTCAATGCATCAAATTTCTTAAAAGCTAAATTTATTTATTCATTTCAATATAAAGTAATATTTTGTATATCTACCTTGTCTTGATAATTTCTTCAAAATTACGAGGCATGTGGTCTGTGAGACTCTGACAATATTCAGCTAAGATTCCAGTTGATCAGACATTCTTGATATCCTCCTCAAGAGGCACAGCATTGGGTGACTGTTTGTAGCTGTGGTTCCTAAAGCAGGGCAATTTTTATTTTTTGGGAGTTGGTGGGGGTGTTGCAATTCAAGAATAAGTTATTAACAGTGAATCTTTTTCTAGTCAGTCTGTGTGTATGTATGTGTGTGTGCGTGTGAGAGTTAATACATACGATGTGTATACAGTATGCATACATAAAAATATGACATCCTGGGTAAGATGATAAACTACATCAGGAGGTTTTGAGGAGCATGGAATCACCTCGTAATTGCTGGTGTTTCCAGGTCTACCCTGACCTGGGGTAGTAGCACCTGTTATGGCCCCAACTATGGGCAAATAGTTAACCCCCAAACTAGGATCAAAACACTATGAAAGTGTAAAAATAGGTTTTAATACCAGCAATACATTTTTGAAGGAAAAATTATTACCAGCAATACCGTTTGGGGGGGGAAAAAATATTACCATCAATAGAAATCTTGTTGGCATTAAATAACCCATTGAGGTTGATATGCCCCAAAACCAAACCAAACCATAAGAAATATGTGTGTGTGTCTATACATGTGTAATTATGTATGTACTGTATATTTTATATATATATATATATATATATATATATATTATATATTATATATATATTATATATTATATTATATTATATATATATTATATATTATATTATATATATATATATTATATATATATATATTATATATATATATATATATATATTATATTATATATATATATATCTCAGTAACACAATATTTTTTTATAAATATTGTAAAATTCTAAAATTAAATGCTAATACTATTGAATATATGCAGTCTCAAATTCTTAAGGAAAGTTAATGACATTTTAGGCTTCCTTCATGTGAATAGGAGTTCACTTTTTGAATAATAAGAATTATACGTCATGGGGAGAGAGGGGTCATCAGGATTTTAGAGCTGCTTAGGTAGGACATGGACAAAAAGAAACGTTGAGAACCATGATTCTGTAACCTTATTCTTCATGTAATCCTACAAATTTTCTCTGGGATTGAGGTTAGGGCTGTTGCCAGGACATTCCAACACAGTGATCCTAAGATATTTTTGCATTTTCTTTCTTTTCTTGGCATGGGACACCATTATGCATAAATATGTTGCAATCATGTACATGAATGTGGATCTCTAGTTTATCCTGCAACTGTTCCAGATACTTTTGACCATTCTTGTTGTTCCAGAGTCCACAAAATACAAACCAGCTGCGAGGAATTGGTTAGGATGCTTGAAAAAAAAATGAGCATTCATATGAGAGGCAGGGAAAAATGATTATTCTTATAAGAGAGAACAGATGTAAAAATGGTCATATGAGATAAAGAGAGAAGGAGAGGGAGGGGAGAAGATAATAAAAATGGTCATTCATATGAGAGAGAGTGAGAGGAATGTGGAAAAAAATCATCATACATGTGAGAGAGAGAGAGAGGGGAAGATGAAAAATGGCCATTCTTATATGAGAGAGAAAGAGGGGAGGATGTAAAAATGGTTATTTTTATGAGTGCAAAATGTGGAAAAAAATGGTCATTTATATAGAAGAGAGATGAAGGACAAAAATGGCCATTCGTATGAGAGGAGAGAGGGTGGTGCGTAAGGTTTCCATCTTCAACTGATTCAATTTTGGTAATTTTTGAATCATAACAGAAGACTTTAGTTAGAATAGAACATAATTTTGATTTGAAATTTAAAATAGGGCATGATTTTGATTTGAAAAATCAGTGAAAATGTGAAATTTAAAATAGTACATCATGTGAAAGAAACCCAATTAAACTTACTAAAACAATATTTATACATTAAATCCTAAAGTGAATATCTTATATTGAAGCATGATTTCCATTGTTATTAGTACTTTATCGAATAGAGATTGTATTTAAATTCATTCTAACTTCATCTATTTTAGAAAACTGCTTTGTAGGAGCAATGAATCTCTTCTGCCTGCCAACAGTTAACTCTGATTTATATAACTGTTTCTTTATGGACTTTATCAAATATTTGTTTTCAGGGTTTTCACTCAGTCTGATTCCCTGGCAAATCTATTTTCTTTTTGTTGAATGGATTCTTTTCTTGTATCTATTCAACTAGCTCTCGTCCCCATCCGCCAACTCTTTGATTGGCTCTCTCTTTTTTTCTGCTTCTCTTGTATTGGATGCTTTAAATGGAAATGCTGAACAACATTGGCCCATTTAACAGAGGAAAGTAGAAATAGAGAGAGAGAAAAACAAACACACCAATATTAAAAGAAAACGAATGCCGTTTGAAATGACATGCTCTGATCAGATGTGACATTTAGGAGGCAAAAAAAAAAGACGAGATAATACTTTTCTGAAGAATGTTACACTAAACATAGCAAAAGCAATCTCTGTGTGTGTGTAATATATATATATATATATATATATATATATATATATAAATTCAGGTACTTTGTATATGTAATTTTATAAACTTTTGTTGCTATAAAGTATAAATATTTTTGGAAATTATTTATCTATATATGAAATTCTGTAACTTCTGTTAGTCTGTTCATCTGCCACACTTTTTAAAATAGCTATACTTTAACCAATCAAAACCAAATTTTAGGGAAAAGTACAAACAAGTAAAGGGGTACAAAGTACAGTTGGTTTTGCTAGGGCGCATAGCTTAATAAAATAAATTTTTATTAATTTTTTGAGGAAAAATTAAAAGTTTTATTATTTAACATACAAAATACTCCTACTATTTTAAAAATAATTTAATGATTAAAATAACAAATATTTATTTAATAAAAATGAAGTATTATTTTTTTTACATATCTTTTTTAAAAGTTTTTATATACACAAGATTCCAGTTTCCAGTTCACCCTGTAAACTATAAACAAATCACAAATCCAAATACTTCAAAAAGTTGGAATTTATCTCCAGAAAGAAATATTTATGCATAGCCAGTTGTATGTTGCATGCTCAAGAGTAAGAAATCCTAAGATTTTATTCTTCACTGTTAAAAAGGAAAAAAAATAAATTTTCTTAAAAAAAAAAAAATATTGTTTACCATGATGTTCTATAAAATTAAAGAAATTATTAAACCGCAAAGTAAAGTTTTCCTAATAAATCAGCTTATTCAAATTTCATTGATTGGTTTGCAAAATGAAACGTAGAGTTTGTAAATCTTGACAAAAAATGTTAGTAATAACTTCAACAATACTAAATACTGAGTACTTCAACACATGTCAGCTTGTTGCAAAAAAAATTTCTAGTATATATTTATATATATATATATATATTTCTGTTACATGGTTTTGCATCTGTAGGCTTTTGATTGGGCAAGTGGTGTAGTGGATAATGGCTTGGAATTAGAAATCAGAAAGCTGAATTTGAATTCTAGCCAGGTTTGTTATATCCACCTACATGAAAATATCCTTTGGAAAAGTATGAATCCACCTCTTCTCCCTCCAGCTATGGGTTAATTAGTAAGACTCGTATCGCTAAACCTTTATTATCTCAAAAAAAATTTTTTTTACAACCTAAAAATATTTTCTGGCTTTAAATAACCTGCTGTATGAAAGGAATCAGTCAATCAATTACATATTACTTAGAGATTATTATATATTATGTCAAGCATTATGCATTACCTACAGATTTTTACATATATATTCTTTGACTCTTTCGTTGTATGTACTTAATGAGTTGTGAGTTTATACACTTTGGTTAATTGGTCACAAATAATTTGATCTTAAAAAAACTTGTTAGCTATTGTGATATGACTCTTTTGTATGTAATTAGTGATATTGACTTGTGAGTTTATATATAAATAAATAAAATTTAAATTTTCATTACAAACTGTCAGATAAATTTTTATCCTGTTCTTCTTGTAGACTTTATTTGTATGGCATATTTTCAGACAGTTTTGAAGACAGTTTCTTTAAAAGGTGGCCGTTATTTATTTCTTAGCTCTACATGCGAGTTTGTATCATTTATTTTCTGTCTTGGTTGATTGCTCTTTATTTCACTCTTGTTGCATCATCATTTCCTGATTCTAATGAGACAGCTTTTCTAATTTATTTCTCAAAAAAAAAAAAAAAACGAATACATTGTCAATTTCTGTTATCGCACTCTCAGAATAGATTTTATCTTTCAATCTGTCATTCTAGGCCAAACAGATCTTTAGATGAAATACCTGGCATCTTTGTGACTAGACAAATACATTCTGACAACACTTTGAAATTGTATATGAATATTAGAAAACCTGATTTGCTCTTTGTATAGATTGACCTTCAATTCTTGGCAAAAAGACAAATACGAATTTCCGATATAAATTTTGCAAATCATTGATATTGGATCAAGAAATTGATTTATGATCTTTCTCATGTTTCAGTTGAGCCTTGATTTCTGGACAAGAAATTTTTCATTTACAGTGAAACCTTAATTCTTGAACTTAATTCATTCCAAGTAGTTATTCAAAAACCGAAACAGTTTTTCTCATAAGAATTAATCTTGTTCTACAGTATTGTGCATATGGTTAATTTCAGAATCAAAAAATTCACTGCTAGATCAAAGGCACACATTTGATGTTTTGCTATTATTTGCTTTTTCACTTCAGTTGTGACTGTCATAACTTTCCTCTTAGGTTTGCTGTATCATTAATTTCTACATGCCATATCTCTTCAGGATATTGGTGATCATAGCTCTCCACAATTTCCTATTGTTTGTAGCTCTTAAAAACTTTTTTCTTATCACTCCTAAACCCTGTTTTGGCATCTATTTACTCAAACTCACTAGGTAGGTCACATGTTGTTTTCCTCTTGCCTTCAATCTGCCCTGTGAGTATCAAATTTTCCAAGCCCTCTTTACTCATTATATACCCTAGAAATTTCAACTGACTCTTCCTGATGTTAAGTATAAGGATCCTTTTTATTTCTGTTTCCTCTGCATTCGGTACTTGGTATTCACATACCTTCTGTAAAACCACATTTCATTGTCCAGCATTAATTACCATATAGGAGGTCTGATATTACATAACAGTGCATATAATAATGAAATTGTATATAAAAACATGTCAAAACGCACACTGATGGAGTGAGCATGAACAGCATCAACGGAAGCCAATGAATAACTGATGGGTCTTCCTTACTTTGATTTGTGCTTATTCAAGAAGCAAATTTCTATTCAAAAACTGGGGCATATGTTGTTTTGGTAAAGAAGTTTTTTGCACCTCATGGTGGCATAATGGCCTTCAAGCTGGACTTGTTAATCATTAGTAATGTATTGGATCCTCACTAGGTTTTCCTTGTGGTACTATGCTAAAACTAATCTGTACTAAATAACTTATGATCTGCTGTGTATATACCAATTGAAGTTTTTGAGATTGATCATAAATTAGGATGACAAAACCCTCTATTGTTTATAAAATAAAGCCGATTGTTTTTTGTTGTTTCCATGGTGCACATGAGATTCAATCTTAAAAACAATTTTTTGCCTTAGCCTTTTCTACAGAAACTCAATTTACATATATATATGTGTGTGTGTGTGTGTGACATTCGTCAGTCTTGAGAAGCCTTGGATCTGCACCCAATGAATTATATCTCAGCTGCTGATGGTAGGGCAGCATCTGTTATGACTGTACAGGCCCACACAGGAATGACAGTCTTGATTGCAATGAATGCATGTGAAGATGCCTTATTGTTATCTTTCCGTTGAGCATGCTTCTCCCTGGCTTCATTTCTCCTTTCCTTGCTCCAGACCTTGGTGTAAATCACGTCTCTAGTGTGAGTAATCATTGGCGATGTCTTCCCACTTCTTGATGTCCATGTTCATGTCCCTCTTTCAGGCGTCCTTGAAGTGAATATGAGGCCACCCTTGGGTCTTTTTGCCTGTTGTCTTTTCCCCATACAGGAGGACCTTCAGATACAAAATTTTAAGGTATGCTATATTTGTGGGCTAAAGTGAACTGTATCAAGTATAGAGCATGTGCAAATATAAAAGTGGACATATAAGTCAACATCCAGTGACAATAGTCTGTTTCATGCTTAAATGCAATTGTCAGTTTGTGTGTGTTTGTGTGTATATATGTGTGTATAAATATCATTTGCCTTGCTAAAGTCTGTCAGAGGGCGAAACATGTTGGCTAAGTTTTCCTTGTCTTTATATATATATATATAAGGGTATTTGTGAAGATGTGACTCTAACTAAAGGAGAATGCTTTCATGATAATGGTTTCCCCTCATCCGTCTCCTTAGCGTTATTAGACTTCCCCATTGCAAATATGGCCACATCCTCACTACGATAGGTGTTGCTTCTACTGTGGCAAGTAGTTTTTTATAGGATTGAATTGCTAACCTCATGTTTATCCAGTTTTGAAGTCAGAATTGTCCTTCTCCTAGATGGGTTGCACCTGGTTTCTCTGATGACCTGCTGTAAGATTGAGTGCAAAGAGTATTTTCATATCATCTGAGTCACATACTACACTTGTCTTGATATTTAGATATTTTGAAATTTCTCAACTATTTCAGATAATTTTTGTTGTTTTAGAAGTTTCAGAATTCATTGAATATCATTAATATTATTTCTAAATTAAAAAAAAAATAATTTAATTGATTTTTCTTGTCAGTTTGAAGAGGATGTTGAATTCATAAGAAAATATTAAAAGAAACAGTTATGAGAAAAGAAAAAACTTCTTACTTCAAATATAAGCATGTCATAATTATTTTTCTGGTTAATTTTCATCTTCTGTTATAAGTCGTATTGATTTTTGAAGCTAGGGAATTATTAATTTTTGGAAGCTTTAAATATGATTTTGTAAAATAATTGTGATTATTTATTTTTTACCTTCCAATCAAATAAACGAAGGAATAAATCTGAAATTACATGTGGAAAATTGTATAATGAATATAATTCTTTTTTCTGTTTGTTATTAAAAAAAAATAATGAATATCTATAAAAGAAAAAAAAGAACTTTTTCATTACGAGAGACTTGAATTAATGCTTGTCTATTTTTTGCTTTATCACTATATTGGCGAAGTTCATTAACCTAAACTCATGCTGGAAAGAAATTTTCAACTCAGAACTCTAGTAAAACAGGCTTTGTTCAGAAAAAAAATGTTGGCATTAAATAACCCATTGAGGTTGATATGCCATAAAACAAACCAAAGCAATTCCTTGTAAATGATTGACTATTCCATTTTGCTTGTGTGGTAAGACAAAAGACTTATCAGAGATGCTACTTGGTTTCAGTGAGAAAAAGAAAGATAGAAGTGTTTAATGTCTCCTGCTAATACCTCTTAAATAATAGACTATTCCATTTTGATTGCATGAGAAGGCAAAAGACATCAAAGATGCTACTTGGTTTCAGTGAGAAAATAAAAGTAAGAAGAGAAGATAGAAGTGTTTAATGTTTGTTTCAGTGAAATGAAAAATGTTGTCAGTTTCAAATCTTTTCATTTGTACCCCCCTTACTTCTTTAAATAACAACCAGCATTCATATTTATGATTGCTATTGAAATATTTTGTTAAAGTTGTTAAGCTCAAATATTTAACATTGCAATAAGGGATTTTTTATCTGTGGATTCTGTGGTGGAATATAGGGTCTCTTAGCCGCCACTTGTTTGGTTTCTGTCGTAAGTGTTATACTGGAACACACCTATTCTATTGTTAATAGACTCTCCCACCTATAATAAGTAGGAGTAGTAGCAGTTGTCAGTGCCTCAGAGAGTTGCTCAATCAGTTGATGTCAGACATTAAAGTATCAGCCACCACAACTAGATTGCTGCGTCATTAACTATTATATCAAGTTCCTAACGTTTTGTACATTGAACCTTTTTAGGACCAACTTAATGAAATACAAGCCTCCACTGTGAAACTACTCTATAACAGTAAGTAGATTTTAATATGGTGGAGTTGCTATCTCCATGCTCATCTAGATTTGAATTTAGCTTCATCTTTCTCCTAGACTGGTTGCCAAGCTAGAGAGACCAGAGTGCTTTGTCATTATTCCCTGGTTAGCAGGAGAAAAGATTTATGCATACTTTTTTCATAAGTATTTGTATGAAAACAAATGTGATGTCCTCAACTGAAATTTGAACTTGATTAGCAGTCACATTTTGCACACCAATAATTCTGAAACTTTGTGTAAATTCAACATTATTAATAAGTGCTGCACTATATGCAAATCTAACTTTATGAATAAATGCTATACTATGTCCAGATCAAACATTATGAATAGGTGCAACATTATGTGCAAATCCATTATTAATAAGCGTATGCTATATGCAGATCAAACATGAATAAGTACAATGCAGATCAAACATTATAAATAAGTGTGACAGAAATCCAACATTATAAATAGGTACTACACTATTTGCCAATCAAACCTTATGAATAAGCACAACATTATATGCAAATCAAACATGATTAATAGGTGCTAGGCTATGTGCAGATTATAAATAATTGTAATACAAATCTAACATTATGAATAAGTACTAGGCTATGTACACATCCAACATTATGAATCTGCTTTACACTATGTGCAAATCCAACTTTATGAATAAGTACTGCACTATATGCAAATTCAATTTTATGAATACTTAAGGAAGCATATTTGCAGAGAAGAATGTTGAAATACAAAAAAAAAAATTTACATTTAGAAAACTCTGTTAGAAGGAATCAAATTGATAATGCTTTTATTACAGGTGCAGGTGAGGACTTATGTACAGAATAACAAATCCAATTGGACACACAACGTGTCAGAGTATTTAATGAATGAAATGACAGTTCAAGATCCCTCTTCAATATTTCCATCGTTTCAATTAATGAGGGTGCTGTAATAATTTGACTTTATCAATACTTACACAGTCTCCAAGACTGAGTTCACAATTCCTTATTTTGTTTGTATTGATTTCGGTTAAATATAAACTCTCAGTTGATTTTTCGTCTTCACCCTCAAATTCCCCAATAGAAGTTGTATGTGATTCAATACTATCTTTGTCAAATGTCTGTAGCTGATGATAGCCTGCTCGTGTGCCCTTCTTGACACGTGTCTTTACTCTGGGTCCCCCATTCTTACCTCCCTCGAGGCTAGGAACACTCAGTGCTATTGGTGTGTATTCATATTTTTCAAAAGAAAAGGTGTGCGCCCGAGGAATCTCTGTACCCCCTCCCTGCTTTTCGGTCTCGTACTTGCCGACATCTCTCACACTGTGAGGTCTGTAGTTCCTGTTACAAACGATTTTCAGATCAGGGTAAGTGGCTGACCGTTTTGTTGCAGAACATGTCTGGTCGTCCAAGCCATCATCACTCATTTCTATCTCAGTGCTGTTGAGGTCGTCAAGTTCGTAGTCGATATCCGATTCCTGTTCGCACTTCTGTAGGGCAAACACTGAGTTTTTCTTCTTACAAAAGACAATAATTGCTCCTGTGATGCTGAAGGTGAAGAATGCAAAAAGACTTGTGAGAACTAACACTGCTGTAAATGACAGAGCACGATGCTCTTCCAGGCTGAGTGCACCTTGCACTGACTGTGGTTCATTGGCTTCTAAAATGGTTGAAATGTTTGTCATATTAACCATGTTGAGTGGCTTGTTTAACATTAGCAAAACTTTTCTCTTTTTACGAGTGGCTGCTTACTGCCTAATATTTTTTTCTTATTTGAATTTTTGTTAGATTTTTCAAATCAGAACATGTAATTGCACATCTCAAATTAATAGTGTGTTGGAAGATCTTGTGATGCATCAACAAATATTTTCTCCCGAATTATGTATTTGCATCATTTTTATCTCTCTTTAATTTATTTTCTGTGGCAGTTTTTTTTTACAATTGTGCAGGTTATTTTGATATAAAATGATTTGAAAAATGCTTCTTTTTTTTTATAGATGTGACATCATTATAATTAAAAAGGCAAATGAAAAAAATTAAAATTTCCAAATTTATTCCTTGTTATTGAGAATTTCACAAGGGAGTAACGGATAGCAACTCAAATTTGAGGAATTGGAGAACTAGGTTTGAATTCCTGTCAAGTTTGTTACATTCACTTACTTGCAAATATCCTTGGGAAAAGTACAAATCCATCTCTTCTCCCCCTCCACCTATGGGCAAATAGAAGGACAGACTGGGTTTGATAACCTTGGGTCGCAATCAGTCTAGGAGAAGGATGACTTTGCATTCAAAACTCCCAACTGTGGGTTAAATAGCTTCACCAGCCCATAACCAAGTGTAGTGATTATGGTTACACTCTTGGTTAATCAGGGTGGGGTTCCTCCAACAGGAGTGAGAAGACCCTAAATTTGGATCTTTTGGCACCCAGAGAATTGCTTTTGTAAGGAATTTTCTACTGAAATGACTGGTTTGAATTTTCAAAAAAAAAAAAGGAAGTAAATAAAAAGGTTGAACATCAGTAAATATAAAAATAGAAATTAATATTTTTTGTTTAAATGTGAAAATAACAACTGAGAGATTTTAAAATAATTTCGAAAGAAAAATTATGAAAAATTTAATGAAAATATTCTTGTTTATCTTGTCAAAATAGACATTTGAAGAATGTTCTTTCCCTGCAAATTTTAATCTATTTTTCTTCCAATCTCTCACTTGTATCTTTTAATCAGTCATTTATTCTCTATCAGATCAATATATCTTGTTATTGATACTGAATTCATTGACCATTCATTCTGTTGGTATTCAATAATCAATCATCTGCGTGAATTTGTTGCAGGATTTGTAGTAATTGAATTCTTCTTTGCCGTAGTCAGTTTTCCCAGAATTCATAATGTAATAAACTTAAAGCATATTAAAATTACCTTGCAGATTCAAAATTGCATTAGTTTTAGCTGTTGTTTTCTATTAAGTAATTTGAAAAGTCTGAGTAGAAATTGGAATGCAAAAGAATAACACTTATTTCCTACTTGGCATCGAATGCAAAAAAAAATGACGACAGACAGAATTGAGCTTATTTCTCTTATTGATGTTAATATGAAATTGAGGAGTGATTTTGAGAATTTATCAAAATTTTTTATTTTTTTCCTGCAATCTCCTAATCTTTCCTTCTCGCTCGTTTTTCCTTATTCGAGGCAAAGCTGTCTGCTTCAGCTCCATTTCTCTTGCTTCATGTTATTTCTATAGTTGATTGCAGGTTCCAATCTGGACATTGTCTATGTTTTATTCGTTCCTGGATTCTCATCCATGGATATTTCTCATCTGAGGTCCCCAGTGTTTGTTTCCGCAAAACTTCTTTGTGCATTTCTCCTGAAAAAGAAAAAAAAAAAAAAATTGTAGAGACTTTTTCTGTACCGTTAATTTTTATCACATATTTCCACATATAAGGTGACCTAAAGATAAGATGAGACTCAAAACTTACGGAAATATTTGTGATTTTATCTGATATCTATAGTATAAGACAACCAAAGGCTAGCTGAGTAGAGTTTAGGCTTATCTTAACGATTCCTATGAGTATAAAATAAAGCTGATGTTATTACAAATGTTGTTTTGTTTACCTTTATCATTATCAAATCAAAAGGAATAAATAATATAAAGTATCAATATGAATCTTTATGAAAAGAACAACAATTTCATTCTTATGACTTGAATGAATGAAAACAAAAACTGTGTATTCTGTAATGAGAAATAAAGATTTTATAGCAACTTGAATGTTTTGTTGCTTAACACTGAAAAAAAAAATACAGTATAATATATGGTATTAAAAAATAAAGTTTGCACATTATACTAAATATTGTTGTTATTAACACACTGTTTTTTAATTAGAAATATAGATTGTATGTTATCCTAAATGTTCTTATTTGACACTACTATGAGAAGTAATGATTGATGTGAATGTACCCATATCTCTACAAATCAAGAACGAAAGATTTATGTTACTTGTTACACATGCGTATTGCTCAGTGGAAATTTTTCAAATTGTTGTATAATTGTCTCTTGAATATTGCATTTTAATGTGAAATCAAGAAGTAAAAGTAGTTTTATTACATTTATAAATGTAGTACTACATTATAATGTGAATTGTTTCAACTAGAAATGTTTACATTGGTAGTTACCATACTGAGGCAGTTGTCAGCTTTGCACTATCCATGGTGTAAACATATTAGCCGACTTATCAGTGCCGATAGACCACAGGATTTAAAGTTTTTTGTAACTGTTGTATTAGATGACTTCCTATTTTGGATGTTAATTTTTAAGATTTAAAAGTTGGAAATATACGGTAACACGTTTTTTTCATTCATCTTATTTTTGTTGTTCTATATCACAATGCTTTGTAAATTTTCACATTTTCTATGACTCTTAACTGTCATAAATTGAAAATTATAAACTTCTGGTGAGATTTGAACTCACATTGAGTTTTCTTAGGAGTTTAATATACACAGTGCCATACGAATTTGGCCGTGCTAACACAACTAATTGTATTTACACCATTGACATTGTTTGGACTGTTGTCCTCATCTTTATTGCCATATTAATGATGTTTCAGCCATTGTATATTCCAGCCTTCTTCAGATAATATACATTGGAATTTCGAACTGGACCTTTTATTTAGTCCATGGGGTAGATTGTTTCAGCATGTATCACCTGAAAAAATCCACAACAGCCAAAACATTGTGAATATGGCAATAAACAACTGTCCAAACGATGTAAAATAGTTACAATACCTCATCAAGGAAATACAGACACAACTATTGGCATTGTTCAAATTAGCCATCTAGGTATATTGTTCCAATTTTATTTTGAGATGCTCATAACAATTAAATACTATTTTGGATGCATACAATTTTATGAATATTATAAAAGAACCATTTGAGTAAACAAATTAATTTGATCTTCAATAGGAGTTCTATGAAGCCGGCTTTCAGCTTGAGTTGGCTTGGTTAAGGACCTCTCTTCATAGCTGAATCTGTGAATACACAGGTCATTTTTTTTTATTCAGCAGTCATTGAATAAATGATAAAAAGCAAGAGAAATAATATGAAAGAAGTACTAGTGAAAAATGAATAATAATTGCCAAGGCTTCATCTAAGAAATTCAGACAATTTAAGACTATTACTACTGTTAGTGTGTGGAGTTACTCATCATGATATGAAGATGCTATAAATGAGATTACCATGTGGAACAAGAGAAAATGTTATTGAGTTGGAAACAATTGGTTGAGTGTAGTTGTTCTAAACTAAAACCTGTACTAAAAATGTAAGAGAAAAGTAACAATAGATTTGTGGATTATTCAAGGCTATTTAAACCCATGTGTTGTGAATTGAACGTTTTTCTTTCTCTTACTGTTTTTGTTTGGAACATTTTGGACTTCTGTTGTTACTATTAACTAAATGTAGCAATTACCAAGTTATTCTAAACCACTTTTGATCTTGTGAGAAATTTGATTTATATGTACCAGTTGTGTCACTTTCACTGTATTTAACTGTACTACTAGAAAAGAAAATTTCTATCATAGCTTTAGGTAATCTGGATAAATCCCCACCAATTTCCAAGAAAAGAGCTAGTTATCAAAAAAACTGGAAGAACAATTTAGAAGTCTGTCAAAATTTCACTAACTTACAGAAAAGAAAAGAAGGACCAGCAATACCCCTTACTCTCAATGAAGATGCAGAGGATGCTGTCTTAGAAATGGTAACAGACAAAATTTATAATGAGGAAGAAGTGAATAACAACATCAGTTGACTTTCGAGGTTCTTAGAAATTTAAAAATTATAAAATACCAAAGGAACTTTCAATAAGAGATTATAGTAATGAATTTGATTAACATTACAAAAGGTCAAATCATATGGCGCTTCAATATCCATGGATGTCTTTGGGATTTGTTTGTTGAAATCAGCAAATCTTTTGCATAACCAAGAACCATTAACAAGACCTACAATTAGTGTACATACGTATGGCAACATTAAATAGCAACTGAAAAAAATTCATAGTTCGGAAGATTCTTCATGTTTGCAAATAAAAGTAGAAGACAACATTAAATTTAAAAAATTGGATATCTTCTATGGCTGTAGTAGTAGATGTAGTCAGTACCATAATAGACTTACTAATGGTCAGAAGTATCAGAGACCATACTGCTATATAATTGTATGTAGTCCTTGGTATGATGATAAACTACATCTAGCAGTAAGACCTTTGATTGGGAGTCTGGAGGTTCTGAGGAGCATGAAACCACCTCTTAATTGCAGTTATTCCCAAGTCCGACCTGACCTGGGGTGGTAGCACCTGTTGGGACCCCAGCTCTGGATAAATAGTGAAAACCCCAAACAAAACAGTATAAAAGTATATTTTTATACTAAAAATATCAGCAATACTTTTCTTTATGAAAATATGAACAATACATTTTAAAGCAATATGAATATAGAACTACCAACAATACATTTTATAGTAGAATTGTCAACAATACATTTTATCTCTAGCTGAAGGCATGCTATTACATTCAAAATATATTTAGTTGAAGCTATAAAATTGTGTTCAGAAAATTAATTTTTGTCATTAAATTATCCATAAGGGGTTGATATGCCACTGAATCAATCAGATAATGATATACGATAGTTGCTATTTAAACAGTCTGTGAAGAAAG